AGAGAGAGAGAGAGAGAGAAAGAAAGGGATGTCTTGTGGATTAGACTTGCCTTTTCAATGGGATGATGGGAAATTCATTTCTCCCTTCGTTGCCAGCAGCGATGAGGCCCTCGCGGAGTTATCCACATGGATGTTTAACGCATTGCTATTGCCGTTTAAACAACAACAGTCCAGTGCGACACTGCGGCTTACAGATCTCGGCTGCGGTGATGGTCACGCATTACTTTCCTTATGTGCTCATCTCTTTCTCCGTTGGGGTACTAATGAAGATAGTCCTAATGCCTCTTCACTGCAAATGAGCGTTGCCGGATTGGATCTTGATGAGACACTTATTGATTTAGCAAAACAACGCGTTCCTTCTCTTCTCGTTTCCCCACCAAATCATCTTCACTGCGTTTTTGAAGTAGCGGATGTGCGTCACTGTGAGGTGGAGCAATACTTTCCATTGGATGAACGTTGTTCACATGTGTTATTTCTCTATTTATTACCGGAGGGATTAGAAATTATTCGTGATAAATTACTGCAGGCATTTCGTCGAGTTCAATTTGTGGTTTCAAACCGCTGGGAGGTGCCGTTTCTCTCCAAGTGGAAAGTGGCGGAACTGCAGCGAATGCATGTTTATCACTACAGTGATGAGGAAGAAAGTTGAATAAATACGAGACGAACTTATTATTTCTTTTTTATTGGTGTAAGATCAGTGGAGGCAGTTTATTTATTTATTTATTGGAATTATTATATGTAATCTATTCTAATATTATATATATATATAATTTTTTTTTTCTTTTTTTATTTATTTATGGGGATTAGAAAGGGCGGAGGGGAGTACAGGTGTGACATAGAAAAAAAAAAAAGGAGGATAAACAAGAGAACCTTCTTCTTCTTATTGCTCTTGGCTGTTACTATTACTAATAGTACGAATATTGAGAAGTTGTACGATTAACCTTCAATCGAAAGAATAATAATAATAATAATAATAATAATAATAATAATAATAATAACATAGAATGGATATTCTTCGGTTTTATTCCACTCAACGGTATGCCTCACGTGTCTCTCTTTACGATCTCTCCTTCTGTGTTACTGTTTGGCGTGCCCCACTTGTGGACGAGGAGGACACTGAGACACTCTGCAGCGTAACGGTGCCGTGGGATGGGAAAGTATTCTCACCAGCAGAGAAACTCGAGATGATTCGCACGGCAACTTCCCTTGCGGAGAGTAAAGAAATAAAAAATCATAATAATCTCACCTCTACAGGTGAGGAGGAAGGAATAGAAATGAGATATATGCAATCTCTCTTGGGAGGATCAGGGCATATGATTCCCACAACAACAGAGGCGATAAAGGAATTACACACGCAGTTGGAAAAACCGGAAAATGCCTTTTTTACTCGTCCCTCCAGTGAAGATTACATTCACCAGACGGAGGAGGAGTGCCCAGTGGATCCACCACAGTCTCCGAGTCCACTAGCCGCTGTAATTCTACGACAACACCGTAAACAACATCAACCTAGTAATAAGATGTACTTTATGTGGGCAGTTGGGAGAATTGTGGATACTGCTGGGAATTCATTAAATAATATGCGATGGGAAGGAGAAGAGCGGGTCATTTGTACAATCGCAGCAGAACAGAGTGAGTTGTACTTTACCGCAAATCCATCTATTAATGAAACACATACATTATATGTAGATTCCCTTCATGTATACTCTTTTAATATTACTGTAACGGCAACAGAGGATTCAAATATCGCATCTTCTAGAATACCGAATCTTATTCGAAAAATTAATAGAATGACACTTAGCGTGCAGGATCATTTAAATTTACCTCATAGTGCTAGAAGAGATGCATTACAACGTATGCTTCTACAACAGGCTGTTCAATTAAAAAGTGAAGAAGTAGGAACAGATAGTACGGTAAAGCAGATCTACACTAAGGGCAGTAGTACCTTTACACAGTCCCCATCTAAAGGAACGGTACGATATCACATACACGGTACTATTGAGAGATGTATTGGAATACCAGAAGATGGATTGTTTTTGCGTTGTCAATGGCAATATGGAAATGAGGACAGATATAATGAAGAATCAGAGAGTGTTATCTTCACTTCACAATTAGCATCTTCAGGTCTTGTCATTGTGGAGGATTTTATCCCACTTCCAGTACATACGTTTAATCTACCATTTGAATATCACTTTGAGGAACGAGTGGAGGCCACACTGCGGCTTCTAATCACAGTCTACAGTGATGATGGGGTGGGGGTACAACAATCCCCAGTGGGATACACAGCGCTCACTATTCCGCATTTACTGCCGGGCTGTCATTCACTGCGAGCCTCTTTGTGGCGACCGCGACCGACGGGTCGTGAGTTTCTGCGCAGTGCGTTTGTGGGCGGTGGGCCGTCGCTTGTGGATGTGCGGGATGCGGGGCCGAGTGGGAAAGGTGTTATTTCAGTCAAACACGGTATGTTAACAGAGTCCTCTGGAGAGATTGAGCTGCGATTGATGGTACTGCAGCATCGTTAATCAACGTTAGCGTTAACGATAACAACAAGAATAGACAATAGGACAATAGGACAGTTGTATGATTCAGTCTTGTCTGTTTTTCTCTTTTGTTTTGTTATTGCCAGATATTTATAGAAGCGAGAATGGTTGTGTGGTGATCGCTGTGTATAGTGTTTATTATTATATTTTTATTTGGTTGTTATTATTCTTTTGCGTTATTTTTAGTTTTTTTTTTTTTTCTTCTTCTTTTGGTAAACATATATCTGCTTCGCACATCGAAATCTCCATGTTTGTGTAATAATGGTTGAGTGGTTTTAACGTGTTCTTGATTTGTTATTATTCCATTTTTCGCTTTTACCTTCTCTTTCTCTCTCTCTCTCTTTCTCTTTCTCTCTCTCTTTCTGCATAAGGTGTCACTCTTCTCCAATAAAAAGCAAGAAGTAACACTCTCAATAGTACACTATACACATACATCCGCAAAATAAAATAAAATAAAATAAACAAAAAAAAAAGAAAAGAAACCCCGTTGTAAAGATAGATCCACACAGAACTATGAGTGTGGGTTCATACAAACGCTCACAGGGCGGGGAGCCGATCTTCTCACAGGCGACTGTTGCCCCGCCCATCCCCGCGCTGCTGCGGCCGCAGTTCCACGCACTCTCCGCAGATGATGTGAGGGCCATTGAGCGGCGGCTGCAGCACACAGAGGCGGCCAGGCGGCGGGATGAAGTCATCGCAGAGCGATGTGCACAACGCCGGCAACAACAACAAGAGGAGACACAACGGCGTGTGGAGATGATAGAGAGAAGAGCCGCTCGACACGCACGTGCCGCAGGAATAGTGGTAGAGCGTCGACTGAAAGCAGAGTTTATGGAATTGGGTCGTCTGTGAGAGAGAATATTTATTTATTTATTTATTTANTCATCATCGGGAAAAGATTTGATAGAGATATGTAAATAATGCATCAAAACTTGTTTGAACAATCATGGAAACAAAATATTTTTCTCTTGTGTTTTATTTCTTTAAAGAGGGAGTAAGGCTAGGGTATTCTCGTAGAATATGAACCGTGCTACATTGAACGGTGACTCCATAGAGAAACTTATATATGATTGAGGGAGATTGACATTATTTTTGGATCTAATGTATATAAATATATATATATGTGTTTAGTTATGTTGTAGTGTTTACCTGTTTCCACGTTTTTTTTGTGGTTTATGATTGTCCGTATGTATTATTTTTCTCTTCTTCTTGTTTTTTCTTTGGGTAATAATGGAAACAAACAAAAAATAAAAATAAAAAAGTCTGTTACAGTAACAGTACTAATACAACCAGCAAAACAGGGCGTATCGCAAGTTTTTTTTTTTTTTACTTGGTATTAGTATTAGTAGTTGTACAAGTGCATTGGGCGTAAAAAGGTGTGTCTAAACAGCAACTATTTGTATTGAGTTTTGTGAAAAGAAAAGATCACCTTGATTCGTCTTGCACTGAACTACTACATTAGATTAGGAAGATAAAAAGATTAAAAAAAGAAAAGAGAAAAAAAAAAAACGAAAAACGTTTTACAATGGCTAATGAAAAGGACGCTGCCCGTGTGAATCAGTATGACTCCGCTACCTATACCCGCAAGGGTCTCACCACTCGCGTTGTAATTCGCGAAAAGCCCTTTATTAAATCGCGTACGCAGCGATTGGTAGACTTTCTTCGCCCTTCCATCCGCACGGGCTTTAACGTTGTGCAGGGATTTGAGCTTGCGAAGGTGATGGGCTGCGTGGTGTTGCCGGTCTTCATGATGCTCTATTGGAAGCGTGTGCAGAAGGGACTTCCCGACCGCTGGGAGGGTCAATTCAGCGGCCTGCAGCACAAACAACTGAAGGAGGAAGTCCAGCAGCAACAGGAACAGGAAACCGATTATTTCACAATCATCGATACATTTAAAGAGCGACGAGAGAAGGCGTTAAAGAAGAAACAGATGGAAGTGATGGGAGGAGATGCAAACGCGGCAAAGACAGGTTGAGAAAATAAAATAAAAGAAAAAAAAAACAACTGATTTTT